GAAATATTTTTTTAAAGAAATTTACTTCTAAAAATGAAAATTTATTTCTTTGATTCAAAGAAAATATTTTATTTCTTTTAGTCTAGAAAAGAAAGTAATGAAATAATTTCTTTAAATGGAAGACATTTTTCTTTGACCCCATAAGAATGAAAAAATTAAAATTTGAAATAAGGAAATATTTTTCTGGATGTACAACTTTCAATAACACCTTTTTTCTAAAATGTCGTGGAAAGCAACAGTCATCGAAATTTTCGATTTTATAGCGTAATAAGTAAGAGTGTCTTTTTCACCCCACTCTAGTGTATTTAAAGAATATTTATCAAAATATTCAATTCAGCTTAACTTTTAAATTTTGTTTAAGGATTTTGCGTTTAATTGTCATTATTTTGTCTGTCACGACCTACATTTATAAAAAAAATTACAATAAATACTACAACTGCAAGAGAAACAAAATTGAGAAATATATGACCCTCTTGATTTGTTTCTAGCAACTCTTAAAGAAGTGAATGCTCGTTACGCAACTTGAGATCCTCTTCCCGATGGCAAACCGTTCATTTAATTTGCACTTTCCAGTTAATTAATCTCAATTAAGTATACCTCTATGAACACTTGTCTTCTACACACTAAAAAAAAAGTCTTACTTTCAGCCTCTTTTTGAGGCTGAATTTAAGGTGTAAACGGAGTCAGCCCCGTTAGACAAGGACAGACTTATGTGAAATACATGGGCTGAATTTAAGGTGTAAACGGAGTCAGACTTTTTTTTTCCTGTGTATTCAACTTCAAAATACCTTTATGTCAGCTAAACAATTGTTATCTTGCAACTTAAAAAAATGCACTATATAATAATTAAAATTAAAATTAGCAAAAGTTATTTTTTAGATTCTTGCTTTATTAATTATATAATGCTGCTTAATTTAAATAAATATATTCTTATTCTACATGCTTGCTTTCTTTACTAAATTAATTTGCAAAAAAACTCAATTTTTTTCTTATAAGCGAAATTGGCAATTTATTGTGTTACTTTTGAAAAATGAAATGAAAATCAAGATTTAAAGTAAGTGATAATGATTAGTTGTGTGGTTAATTATGAATTAAAAATGGTGTAGCATTCATTGAAGCATTACGTTATTTAATTTCTTCTATCTGTAGTTATTTCTTATGAAGTAAATTGTGATGAAAGATAATATAAAGGAGGGTAGGCTTGTAATCTTATACGTTTACGATTGCATCAAAATCCTCGTGTGTATCTCTCTGTGGAACCACTGAATTGCGTTTGGTTGGTTACGTCTAACGCTCCTCCTTTAATCGGATTATTTTTACCTTTGAGAATAATATTTGACAAACTATAATTAATTTTCTTCAATTTATTTTGTTTTATTCTAATATTTATTTAGTTGAAGACTGAAATATTATTTGATATGTCTATTTTAATTATCTATCTACCGGAGTTGAAATTTAAGCCCTATTTTGTACCTGAATTGTAGGGTTTATTCAGTTTTCAGCAATTGCAAATAGGTTGTCAGGGGTTTTGAGTAAAATTACTGGAAAAAATTGAATTTCTCAAATTCATGAGAAAACTCTGAATTTTGATGTTTTTTTGTTTGCCTCGTAAACTATGAAATTACCACAAATTTTAATACAAAACTTTCAAGTTTTTCTATTTTTGCCAATAATTTCTTTTTAAATAACTTAATTTTTCATGAACTATCTTTATGGGAGAGGTACGCACGTTGAGACACTAAGATATTATAACCTTGTAACTGATAATACCAAAAAGCTTATTGGCATTTTGTCGTATCATTAATACCAAACTTTTTATTCAATAGAAGCGCAATAACTCCTGTTTTTTCGATAGAACTAGAGTGAACCAATTTTCTAGTTAAAAAAAGTGTTTTTCAGAATTCCTGATTAGTGTATTTATTGTATTTTTAAGTGGCAGAAAAAAGTGCGGATAACATTTACATATCAATTTTGGTTCTACTTTAATGTTCCGACGAAAATTTAGACTTACGTTAACATCTACAAATAATTTTAAAGCTTTAAAAAAATAACGGCGAGGTCTGCACGTTAAGACACACTGTGGTACGCAGGTTAAAACTCTCACGGTGTGAAAATAGTACTGTCATTAAAATTGATTTTGAATCCACAATTTTTAAGCGTTTTACATGTTCTTCACCTGTAAAAATTGCGAATATAAAGATTTCGATTAATTATTTTTGTGCAAAATAAAATTTTATTTTTTGATTAATATTATTTTTGTGCAAAATAAAATTTTATTTTTTGATTATCTTCTTTAAGTTAATTTTTAATGTTTTAATTTTTTTCTTTGGGCTAAGACCATCAAAATAAGTAAATAAACAACAATTAGAATCTGACGTAATTATTCATTTTGTTTCAATTTAAAATAAATTAGGGGAGACTGGGGTAAACCCGCTCACTTTTTTTCAGATCGGTAAAAATCTGGGAAATTATTCTCTAAATCCAAGTTAATTTATATCATTTGAAAGCTTATGATTTCTACTTAAAAAGTAAAAAAGAGTTTTTGATTTATTTTTTTTAGTTTTACTTAGAGAAACTTTTTAATTAACATATGCCAAATTTCGAAATCACAATTTTCCAGGGTAAACCCGCTCACTTTATCTTTTCAAGACGGAACAGTTTTATTTTTTAAATATTAAAATTCGTCTTATTCCCGTCTTAAGTATGATTTATTATTGATAATTTATGAGTTATATAAACATTTATATAAACAACAAATTGGTTTAATAAATAATGAACATAGATTTCATGAATTTCAACTATGGATTTAAATAGTGTTATATTTTATTAAGAGAAAGTGAAATGTAGTTAAAATTTTGGTTTTAATAAGTCATAAATTGTGTTATTGTTAAAATATAATACGTGAAATTATTTTATTCTAAATTTTAAATTTAAAACTAAGTGAGCGGCTTTACCCCGATCACACGTGAGCGACTTTACTCCGAGTGTATTCCTCACATTTCAGAATAAATTTAATTAAATCTTTTTGAAATAAGATAAAACTATACATGTACTTCGAAAAAAGACATCCAATAGCAACAAAAAAAAATTTGCCAAATAAATTAAGACTCAAAAATAATGATCGAAAAACTTAAAAATCCAAAAAACGTTTTTTTTTCTGATACCTCTAAAAACATTTGATTGCCTCTGATTCTATGTTGAATTCATGAAACTAAACGAAAGTTCGTTAATATAAGTTGAATGGTAAGTACTATTCACATTATCAATATCTCCATCTTAAGTTGAGTTCATCGCGTTAAATCGCTGGTGAGCGGGTTTACCCTGTGCGCGGGTTTACCCCAGTCTCCCCTACTAAGTATAATAGGTGTCTTAACATGCGTACCACTTTTTTTTGGTCAAAAATAACATGTTTAAAAAATCAGCTATAAATTTTTCATTTTTGTCCAAAAAAAATTATGACTTATAAATTATTTAATGAATACCTAATTTTACAATTTTCATAAATACTAGATTGATAGAAGAATTTTCGTTAAAAATACTAAAAAATTGAATTTTGGAAAAGTTACAAATGATTCTAGAAATTCAATTATTTTCAAAAGTTATAAAAATTCTTCGCAAAATTTCAATATTATGTTCAAAAATTGAAAAAAATTCTCGTCAAAATTTCAATTATCTTTATAAATAATAAAATTCTTCTTCGAAATTGAATTATTTTTAATAATTTTTATAAAATTCTTGGAAAAATTATACAGGAATTTAATTATTTACAAAATTTTTAATAAATTTCTTCGAAATAATTCAATTTTTTTTTCACAAGTAATACAATTTTCACAGGAATTTAATTATTTAAAATACAAAATTTAATAAAATTTTTCGAAATATATCAATTATTTAAAACGATTTTTTTAAAAGTCGTCGCAAGAATTCAATTATTTAAAAAAAATTTAGCAAAGTTTATTTTTATAAATAATAAAATTCTTCACCGAAATTTAATTATTTTTTTAAACTTGGATAAAATTAGTTGCAAGAATTTAATTATTTATATAAATAATAAAATTCTTCACAGAAATTTAGTTATTTTTATAAACTTGAATAAAATTCGTTTGAAGAATTATATTATTTTCAAAAGTAATAAAATTCTTCGCAGAAATTCAATTATGTTATTGAAATACATTTTTGGAAGAGTGTTCAATAAGTAATGTAAAGATCATTAGATCATTGATCATAAATTGATTTACTTTTTGTAACACTTTCTGCTGTACTTGGTTACTTGGTTGCCTGCGTGTGTCACAGTTTGCACAAAAGTTGGGTAAACTGATGGTCCCACCAGGTAACTATACTGTCAAGAGGTCAGGACCTTCATTTTACCCAACTTTTGGGCAAACTATGACACACGCAGGCAACTATGTAACTAAGTACAGCATAAAGTGTTACAAAAAGTAAATCAATTTATGATCATTGACACTGTTAACTTAAAAGTATCAAATAACAACGAATTGATACCAAAAATGTGGATCAAATAAAAATTGATCTAAATTTTTGGCATCAATTTGATTCACTTTAGTATCAATTTGATACTTTTAAGAAAACTGTGGATCTAATGTTCTTTACATTACTTATTGAACACTCTTTTAAAAATGTATTTCAATTACCACATAAGAAAATATTAAACATTTTCAGAATGCCCATGTGTAGCCATTTTAACCAACTTTGACAAAATTTTAAACAAAATATTTTCTCAGTGTAGAAAATAAAAGTTCTATATTGAGTTTTTTTATTTGTCAGGTTAACATATTAGAGTTAATTGTAAATTAAGATATTATTTTAAATGTTTTGAGAGAGAATCGTATTGAATGCTAATTTTAGTTGTAATTTTATTGCATTGGATTTTGAGATAGCATTATTTTGAATTGAATTATTATTATTATTATATATTATTATATTATTGAATTATTTTGAATTATAATTGTCTTGCATTAATTTGTGAGTTAACTTTTGTAACGCGACTTTGTTAACTTGAATAACTTGCATCTATCGGTTACTACTAATTCGCTAAACCCTCAATACTCCTCTTAACACTCTCTTAACACTCACTGGGGAAAGTCAAATTGAGACAACGACTGATGCTCGACGTTGAGATTAGCAATCCTCGAAGAATGAAAACGAAACTTACCCACGCTGAGAAATATATCAACGACGCTGCTTCTCTCGAACTCCGCTTGTAATCCCCAGGACTTCACACTAGGTTGACATAATTAAATAAACAATTCTACGTCTCTACGCTCTTTATTATAACTCTAAATCACTTTAATTAACAATATTAATTATTAAATGCGTTCGATTAATTATCTAATTTCTCGTCGCAACATAAGTTCGCTCTCAAAGGCTTCCGTGAAGGAACTGAATCTCAGCAAAATTGGAAAAACGGTCGCCGGCCGGCTTCTTCGCGATCTCTCGTCTCTCTCGCTCCAATGGTGAAAAACCTAACAGCTGTCTCCGTCACTCCAATGGGCCTAACACCTGTTGAAAAAGAATCGGGAGGAAACGCTGATATTCGGGACCTTTCGACTAACCATGCGCAACGACAAGTGCAATGCAAATCGCGAGGAATAAATTCGACGCTGACAACCAATTCTAACCAACAAATACTAAACTGAAATCAACAACTAATTATTATTTTAAGTAACGAGATTCATCGTTACAAATCCCCTCACTAGGCCAATAGTAATCCCTAACTATTGCCGAAAACAAGAAATATAATAATCAGTAACACATAAATTGTTCTTTATTCTATAACAATAAATTCAGTTCATTACATGAACAAAAATTAAGAATAACTATCGAACACATTCATGTAATCACTTAACTAAATAATACAAAAAATAATAATCTCCAAATGGTAACACTTAACTAATAATACTGTGGTGTTACATAAACTCAAATCATAAGGAACTGAATCACGAGTCTCACTGAGCATGAAAAGAAAACAAACAAATAAAATTAAAGTTGACTTTTCCGCACAGTGCGCTCTTTCAAAAATTGTGCTCGAACCTCCTGAGCAAGCTCTTCAGGCACACCTTGCAGTAAAACATTTAATTCACGTAATTCCTCCAAAATATTCCTCTCGGACGCTGACACATGTGACTCAACACGCAGAGCTGGTTGATCACTCGTTATATCTCTTTCTTGACTCAGAACCATCTCAAACTCGTTGCCAAGTGGAAACGACAAAACAGGAAATTCCTCCTCTCGTGAGCTTGGTGATTGAGTCTCCATGACTAAATCGTTATCACGCTGAAAATTTGGCACCGAACTCCCTGCTTCGATTGCATTCCTTGCATCGTTAGATGTCGAACCCACCGACGAACGCTGATAACTGCTGGCATCATTCTTATGAACATCACCAGTATTTTGATATTTTCGAGATCGATTTTCTCGATGAGCAAAATACTTGTCCTCGCCGTATTTCCGCCTCATATCTAATTTATGCACTCGACTGCAACGTGGGCAGTTCATCAACACCACTTCACGACGGCCGCAATTATTGCACATCTCAATTCGCGGCGCACGGCACCGATTAACTCCGTGACCACGACACCAACAATTATGACACACACCAGGAGGAGGATCAACTCTCGGGTCTGTAGGAATGATGTCCAAGCCACCGAACATCCTACCTGCCCGGATAACCGGTAATCCAAACTCCTGCTTAGGCGTCTCCTCAGGGCGTATCAGTCCCAGCCAAGCCGACGTCTGGCTAACCCCTTCACTCTTAAATTCCTCGACTGATTGCTGCGTGCTCATAAAACGCGGCTGTGCCGGTATCTCTCGAGGTAACTCCGCCGATCGTGGAAGAACGACCTTGTCCTTGGTACCTCCAACATAATCCCAGGCACTTAAAGGTTTCTTATTTCGATACTCAATTTCCTTTTTCTGATCCTGTTTAAGTTGCTCCAAGGTTCGTTCTGACGGTGAAATCATTGCTTCTAACTCCATCACAGCACGTCGACTCTCCCAAGACTCTCTACTCTCGCCCTTTTTACGACGAACTTCCACGCTGACAGTTTTAGGTATCGCTCCCTTACTCGTAGATGGCTTTGGTTCCACTCTTGGTACCTTTTCCACTTCTGGTAACACTATTACCTCTGGTACCGCTTCCACCTCCGGTCTGCGCACCTCGATCAATGCATCGACCACGAACTCAGGTCGAACTACTGCCTCTCGAATTGTAGGCATCTCCCTCGCAGGCAAATTCTCGGTACCAACACGATTCAGTGCTTCACTCCTTCTCAGAGCTCGGCGAACCATCAAGGTCGACTCATCAGGCTCCTCGATCGGTGACTGGAACTCTGGCCACGGTTTGTGCACACTCGCACCGCTTCGCCCACTTCTTCCTCTCGTTGCAGCTCTAGTCCTCCACATCTGCTTTCGATCTGCCTTTTTACTCCGCTGAAAATGATTCCTCTCCAATTCTCTTCCTTCTGACGCTGATAAGGATCTCCGAGCTGGCATCAACGAACAATCTGTAAAATAACTCACATTAGTCACAATTCTTACTCAATTATTTTCCGCGAGGAGGAATATATCTCTTTAAATCCGAAACATGCACTTTCGACACTCTACGATTATCCTCGTTTTTCAACTCATAAACTGACGGGGAAAGCTTCTTCAAGATTTCAAAGGGCCCCTCATATTTAGGTGCCAACTTCGCAGAAAAACGCTGAGACGCATTGGAAAGTTTGTGTGTTCGCCACCAAACCAAATCGCCAACGTTAAAACTAGCTTCTCTCTTGTTGCGATTGTAATACTTGGCTTGTTTCTCTCTTTCCTCGTCCACAAATCTTGCAACTAGGTCACGCAACGCATCTATTCGCTTCATTCGATCCGCCCACACTTCAGGATCGAGACGCTGAAAATTTTCACTTCCTCAACCTCTCGGCGTAAACTCTTCACTGGTTGTGGTTGACGCCCATAGTTGAGGAATGCTGGAGACATTTTAATTGACGACTGCACTGCCGTATTCGCAGCGTGTCGGAACTCGTGAACGTGTTTGTCCCACTCTCTGTGATCTTCACCCACGAAGGTCGCTATCATTGTCTTCAGAACTCGATTGCTACGCTCCACGGGATTAGCTTGGGGATGGTAAGGCGGAGTCGTCAAGTGTTGCACACCATACTCTTCCAAGGCCTGCTTCAACACTTTATTGTCGAATTCCTTGCCATTATCCGTGAGCAGAAATTTCGGTGTTCCCCATCGAAACAAAACAAGCTCTTCGAACGCCTTGACAATGGATTTTCCATCCGCTGATCTCAAGGGTTTAACTTCCACCCATCGTGAGAAGAGATCCTGGAAAACCACGAGGTTCTTGCACTGACTCTTGCTTGGAGGGAACTCCATGTAATCAGCTGCTACCACTAACCAAGGTTGTTCTACGATTCTTCGCCCCATCATCCCCACAGGACCTTCTTGTGATACTTTGAACTTCTGACATTGCGTACATCCCTTCACCCAATTGTGAATATCGTACCACATGCCAGGCCAAAAGTACTGCTGAATCACTCGCTGATGTGTCTTATCGACTCCTAAATGTCCCGCTGAAAATTCCTCATGTGCATCACTAAATACTCTTTCTCTGAACTCTTCAGGTACAACCAGTTTCCAATTTTCACCTTCGTCCAGGAACGGTGATAACATCGGATCACTCTTACGCCGATACAACTTCCCATCTTCCATTTTCCAATCGGGAAAACGATGTGGATGCTTCTCCACATTTTCGCGACGCCGAACGTACCAAGCATCATGAGTCGCCTCGAACGCTGAAACTTCTTCCTCGTCCTCGAACATCCGGGACAACGCATCCGGAACATGATGGTGTATCCCTCGCCGATGGACTATCTCAAAGTCCCATTGCTGCATCTCAAGCGCCCACCTCGCTAATCTTCCTGACGGATCCTTGAGATTCCTCAGCCACTTCAAAGCGCTGTGATCCGTGATCACTGTGAATCGACACCCTTCGACGTAAGGTCTGAACTTTTTAATAGCCCATAACAGAGCCAAACACTCTTTCTCGGTCACGCTGTAATTCTTTTCCGCCGCTGATAACGCCTTGCTTATATGCATTATTGGATGCTCTCCATCATCCGATTGCTGAGTGAGTACCGCTCCAATTGCGAAGTCGCTGGCATCACACTGAATCGTAAATTGCTTGGAGAAATCCGGACGAGCAAGGATTGGCGCTGAAACTAATTTCTTCTTGAGAGCTTCGAATGCTTCATTCTGATCCTCTCCCCATTTCCAAGCTTGTCCTTTATGTAGCAGACGTAAAAAAGGAATCTTCAGCTCGCTGTCCTTTTCAATGAACCTGGAGTACCAACCGATCATTCCGAGGAACCTTCTCAGTTGTTTCAGATTCGTCGGAGCAGGATACTTCAACACAGGCTCGATTCTCTCTGGATCCGGGCGCAATCCTTGACTATCAAGTACATACCCTAAGTATGTGACTCTCGAACATCCAAACTCGCATTTTTCAGGATTCACCACCAGACCCGCTGTTGCTAATCTTTGCAGGACTATCTCCAACCACCTGGTATGTTCCTCGTATGTACTCGTAACGATAATAATATCGTCCAAATACCCGAATACAACTGGCTCAAACTCTGGACCGAAAAGAGCATCGATGAGGCGCTGAAATGTCATCGGAGCGTTTGTAAGACCAAACGGCATTCTTTTGAATTGGAACAAACCCAATCCTGGAATCGAGAACGCTGTGAACTTCTTACTATCCTCTGCCATTGGTACTTGATGATACGCTGCCTTCAGATCAATTTTGGAAATATAACGCGCCTTACGGAGCTTATCCAAAATTGAATCCATGCTTCTAATCGGATAGGCATCCTTAATCGTGATCTTATTCAAGTCCCTGAAATCGAAACATAATCGCCATGTTCCATCACTTCGCTTGACCACCACTGGGGCCGTACTCCATTCACTCGACGCTCTTTTGATTATCCCTTGATCCAACAACTTTTTAACCTCCGCTATCATCCATTCCAACATTGTCGGCGACATTCTTCGAGTCCTGTGCTTGATAGGAGTGTAATCTGTTACGCTGATATTATGTTCAGTTAGATTCGTCATTCCATGAATTTCCCCTTGTGGAATAACCAAATCATCGACAATTTTCTGCACTGTTCGACGTTGCTCACGTGACAACTCACAAATTCCTGCACATTCGGCGAATATTTCACCGTCTTGACGCTGACATTTACTTTTTACAAATTCGTGCCATTCTTTGCCCTTTACTCTCCAAAGTCCTTTCCCCAGCTGAACGTCCATGTCCATCTCCTTACAGAAGTCAACTCCCAGAATCACATCCTGAGTTAGAGTGTCAACTGCTCGGAGTTCGAAAGCTTGCGAGACACCATCCACGTTCAACCACAGACTCAATTTTCCTAGAGTACTAGCTGATGATCCGAGTGCACTCTGTATTGCTGCATCTGTCGACGTCAATCGTTCCTTGAACTTTTCCGCCAATTTCGGACCTACTACCGATATTGTTGCTCCAGGATCAAACAGTGCATAATATGGTTTATCGGCGATGAAAATTCTCATATAATATCTATTCTCGAAACTCGTACCGTCCACTGCTTCAAACTCTTCAGAGGATTCAACATCATTCCTTGATGATTCTCCCCCCTCTAAGCTCATACGTGCCGAATTATTTTCAGCACTATGATCTTCACACGGATTTGCTTCAGTTGGTTGGACTTCTACAGCTGGTTCCGCCATTTCTGCACCACTGGATTCAAGAACAATCGTCTCATTCTTTTCGCTCGGCTTCACCCCTAAATCCGCTGATAACTCATCGCTAATATTTGTTTCTCTTGTCACAACATTTTTTTGTTGATTATTCAAATCATCGCTGACACTATAACTCGCTTGGATAATTCCTTCGTTAACCCACTGACTTGAAGGCAATTGCTCCTCTCTTGCATCGGAATACTGTTTTCTTTGCAGGTGTATAAAACTTCCCTCTGACTCGCTCCTTACGTCACCTGCGCTTGTTATTGGGGGGGAGACTGCACTTGTCCCCCCCTCTCAAGTTTTCCAAATACTGCCTTATAAAAACGCACTTCGGGCAGCGTGAGAAAACTGTTCCCCTTTCGCCACATACTTGACACGATTCCTTTATTGCTCGTTGCTGCTTGTTAGGACACTGCGCTGAAAAATGTCCCTGTCGACGACAGCTAAAACAAATTCGCTGCGGACACTCCGCTGCCCGATGTCCAACTATTTGGCACACATTACAAGTACCTACAAAAGGTCGCTGGCCGTTATTATTTTGTTCTAACGGTCTTATTGCACCCCATTGATTTCCCTGTGTTGCATTTGCCAATGGTCCGGTCGTGACCTGTGCTGGAACATTATTAGGCAAATTTTGAACATAAGTGACAGGCAACGCTGATAATTGTGGTGTCTCTTGTGATGCTGAAATCGATTTCTCCCCTCTATTAAATTTCCCAGCTTCCTTGGTATTTGCCAAGGCATCGACACTAACTTCGTCCTCACGTTTCTTCTCGTTCTTCTTTTTCTTTTGACTTTTTCCCGCTTTTTTCTTCACCTTCTTCGGTCGCTGCTGCTTGCGGAACTCTCATCTTGTCCCTTGTTGGTGGCGGTAGATACCTTTTATCAATAGCTTTGATTCTCTCGTAACGTCTTAACGCCACTTCCAACTCCGCAACTGAGTTAACTTGAAATCCGGAAAGATAACGCCGATATTCGGGTGTCAATCCCCTAAACACAACATGTAGCCATTTTTCCGCTGAAAGTGGATGCTTGAAATGATCCGTTATCATTTTAAGACTCATTAAATAATGTGAAATTCTCTCGCCTTTGGCTTGAGTACGTGATTTTAGTTCATCCCAAACATCCTCCTGATCTATCATTGGCGCGAATTCTCTCAGAAATAGTTTTTTGAACTTCCTCCAGGACGAGATATCGTCTCGATAAATTCTAAACCAACGACTTGCCTCGTGTTTTAAAACACTTGGGATTGCTCGCAGTAATTGACCATCGCTAATACTACTTTTCTTTTTGCAATCTTCAAGACGATTTAAAAATTCTTCCGGATCTGATTTTTCGGACGCTGAAAATTTCACATCCCAATCCTTTAGAAGTTTAACCGTCTTGATGCCTCTATGTGACGACGATCCTCTTCTTTCCCATTGGTGAGACCTTAATTCATTAAGATCCTGATCTGATTCAGATTCACTTGGAGATAACAACCATAATGATTTAGACAAGCTCCGATCAGATTTGACACTACTCTGGCTACTATACTCAACTTCATCACCCCTGGTCTCAGTATACCGATGTTTACCACTCTGCATTTTCTCCTCTTCCTCTTTACGCTGATAATCCCCTCCATTCACTACATCCCCGCTTTCAGTACGCTGAAATTCCCTACTTTTAACTGCATCCCCACCTACTTTCCACCCCCTCACTGGTGTGTCTTCCCCTCGTCCTCTCCCTCTCCACTCTTCCCACTCTGGAGGATCCAGGACTTTCCTGGACTTATTTTTGTTTTTAAAATCGTTCCCTTGGCGTTGTGGAGAATATGAAGTAGTCTCTTTACTTGACAACCGCTGATATCTTGTGGTTTTGGGTATTGCACCCGCACCTTTACCTGCACCCACCTGGATATTCTCAACATGAGATCCCCTCTCAGCACTTGGTGTATAAAGTTGCATTGGAAATCCCGAATTAGTCCAACTCCAGATACTCGGTGCGAATGTTGACGCGGGAACAACTCCACTCGGCATCGACCATGATACTCTCGTCGTGTCACCTACCCTTGTGTTTGTTACTGTTGTTATGACAGTTGTTGCACTCGGTGAGGTTATAACTGACACTGTCGTTACCACGGAAGGAGTAGTGGTAGTAATTGCCACTTCATTACCTCGCTCGCTGACATGTGTATTGACACCACTTCCATCTCCAATCTGGTTATCGCCACAATTCACTTCACTATTCTGTTCCTCCAACTCACTCTCCCTCTCTGTCGCTGAAACCTCTTCCTCCGCTATTTGCGTCCAGGCTAAAGGAAGACCTTCCAACATAAAAACTTCCTCTGACTCCGCAGCGTCATATTTTTCCATCCACGGTACATACAACACTTCGCCCAATACTATTCTTGTCCGTAATCGTAAAAGACGTTCTCGTAAAACTCTCGACGATCCTTTTGTGCTACAACGTTGACTGCTCAATTCGTTTATTACATCCGAAATGGACATTAAATCGATAGCCTGCCAAATGTTCTTGACATCTCGATTCCTGAAGAGTCGAGCGAACTGTTGGCAATAATATGAATCAGTCATGCTAGCCATCATGTTTAAAAATTTCTCAAAGACAAAACTAATCCAAAACGGACTCGATAAAATTTAAATCGATTCTCAACGCTGAAAAATTTCACGACCCGAGAACAATATGGACTGACCACAAAATAAATAAATAATTATACAATAATTAAATATATTACTCTCATAAACGTACAAAAAAAAACACAAGAAACGGGAAAAGAAAACGAGAAAACAACAACAAAATATCTATCAAACGCTGAAATCGATAAATATTCAATCGTCCTCTCGTCTTTTATTGACAAACAAAAGATAAACAACTTGGCTCGCTTACGCGCCAAATATTCCCTCCAAATTCAGTGACTGACGCTGAACAAGGAACGCTAATAACTGCTAAAGCGCAGGAATAATTTCTCGATGTCCCCCCGCTTCCCAAATTACCACAATCAACGATAAAATTACCGCAATTATTTCGGCAATTTTCCCAAACGCTGATAATAAATTATTATTAATTTAAAAAAAAAAATGTTAAATAAGTGGTAACACAACACGAGTCAATTAATAAAATTTATACACAAATAATTCAATACGACAGAGAGAAAATAAAATACTAAAGAAAAACAAACACTGTAAAATAATCTCCATTTAATTACCCTCGCGCCAATTTAACATGTGACATGGCGTCTCTCGACTACTACCGGAAATCCAAACTTGACGAAACTATTTTCTTGCCCGCTACAATTTTACAAGAATTTCGCCCACTGCGAAATTATTCTTAATTTCCGAAATTTGAGTTACTTTTAAACAGCAACGACTTATTATTTCCACAATAATTATGGCACGCTGATAAATAAGTAATCGCTGAAAATTAAGCACTCTACGGAAAAGCCGACAAAAAAATTAGTCTCGACAAAAGCAAATAATATTAATAACCGAATCTATTGCCGATTACTTGAATATAATCGCAACACCCGATATAAACGACACGATTCACTTAGTTTGGACGCTGATAATTGTAGCGTCCTCTGAGGTCGCCGGTACTTTCTCTACGTCACATCCGACCACGAGGGAATTCTCTAATTTCAACTAATACTTAAAATTTACACAGTAAAATTCTCACTTTTTTACTCTACAAGAGGTTAAAATCACCCTTTTTTATTCTTACACACGGTTCCCCTTAATCGAAAACCCTTTTCAAAATTCAATTTTCCTCCTCACGCTGATATATAGAAAATTAATTTTGAGGATTGCTTATCTCATTGTCTCAACGTGGCCCCACGTTGGGCGCCATTTTGTAACGCGACTTTGTTAACTTGAATAACTTGCATCTATCGGTTACTACTAATTCGCTAAACCCTCAATACTCCTCTTAACACTCTCTTAACACTCACTGGGGAAAGTCAAATTGAGACAACGACTGATGCTCGACGTTGAGATTAGCAATCCTCGAAGAATGAAAACGAAACTTACCCACGCTGAGAAATATATCAACGACGCTGCTTCTCTCGAACTCCGCTTGTAATCCCCAGGACTTCACACTAGGTTGACATAATTAAATAAACAATTCTACGTCTCTACGCTCTTTATTATAACTCTAAATCACTTTAATTAACAATATTAATTATTAAATGCGTTCGATTAATTATCTAATTTCTCGTCGCAACATAAGTTCGCTCTCAAAGGCTTCCGTGAAGGAACTGAATCTCAGCAAAATTGGAAAAACGGTCGCCGGCCGGCTTCTTCGCGATCTCTCGTCTCTCTCGCTCCAATGGTGAAAAACCTAACAGCTGTCTCCGTCACTCCAATGGGCCTAACACCTGTTGAAAAAGAATCGGGAGGAAACGCTGATATTCGGGACCTTTCGACTAACCATGCGCAACGACAAGTGCAATGCAAATCGCGAGGAATAAATTCGACGCTGACAACCAATTCTAACCAACAAATACTAAACTGAAATCAACAACTAATTATTATTTTAAGTAACGAGATTCATCGTTACACTTTATATTGCACTTGTTTCTGAGATAGATTTATATTGAACTGACGTTAGAAATAACATTTTCTCATCAGGAAGCGTCGATTTGTTATTGTTTAAACAAATGATTTTTTTTTGTTAATTAGGTCTGTTTTAGTTTATTAATCTAGGGCAAAAGTCCGGGGTGATGGGCAGTTGAAATATTTTACAGAATTTGTTAATAAACATCACTTATTATGAGCTATTCTTCAACCTTTTATTACTACTAATAAATGTAAACAACAAATTGTTGAAAAATAATGAAATGTAAGCATAATCCTTCTACATTTTTCTTGCATGGGTCCAAAATAATTTGAGAATTTCAGATTTCTTACCTATTATATAACATATAAATTCCGCGATGCGAATGTAAGAGATTCTTCTGTAAAGCAAGCAAATTAATCGTAAATATAAATTAATATATATAAATGATATATTAATTTGAAGCATTAAAATAAATTGGTTAAGTTTAAAGAGCAATTTAAAGCTAAGTGTGTGAGAGTATGTGATGTACGAATCGAGTCTAATTCATGCAATGATACAATTTTGAATTTAATTCACGATGCATTATTAATTAAGCAGTCTTCAACAAGTGCAAAACGATCGTTTCCACTCGACCGAGAAGAAGCGAGTCGCTGTCGCGGTGAAATTTTCTTGAAACCTGAAAAAAGCGGAAAAAAGTCAGACATGAGTGGTCTCGTATTATAGCGTGTTATAGCGTGTTTGTACCTTTGCATCCTACAGTGCACCACGGGGTGCTCCTTATTGCAAGAGCGACCTGATTCATGAGGAGAATCCTCATCTCCAATCCAATGCCACCCTTCTTGTAATTTAGTCTCTTGCAAAAGACGAAAATTCTGCATTTAATGATTTCATTTATTAAGCATTTATATAAAGCATTTTCAACTATAAGTAAAAAATGACGTAGAATCTAGACATTAGGTCTTGAAATCAGGTTTAATTATATTAATTATTAAAACCAATAATAGTAAACCACAATGTCATTATTTTTGAAAATTCCATTGTCTCCTATGTTGAAAAATAATTGCGATAAATAACTGTCAGAACTTAGTATTACCGTTGCCATCAAGCGTATTTACTTATCAAGTTCTCTGTGTAATTTCATAGTTTCGCTGGCGGCGTGGGATTTTACAATAAAAGATTACTTGGTAGCGTCGGTTAAGTCCCCTTAATTTCCTCACTTTCAAGGACACAATAAAATGCACTTTATTGTCGGAACTGGCGAATCCTCTTTTACAAACAAAGCAGATCTTTCTGTTCTAAGAAGATCGTGTCGAATTGCAATTTGATAGCGGATAGTTTTCATCTTTTCAATGCTCCGCTTTTTGTTGTGCGCATGCCCAAATATTTTGTGCTTATTACATTATCTATACTAAAAAAATGATGTTAATTCTGACATACTTTTGTCTGAAATAAACATATAGTAATGCTGTTCTTTGTTCTTCACATACATAATATAATACTGTATGCCTGTATCATATCCACCAATGCAACATGTGAGAATTAGCCATAATGTATAATATTTATCTATTCCTTTTAGTTCTTAACACTATCAAAGCATATAATTCTCCTTTTTTGAAGTCCAGAAAAATTTCAGGATAATTGAGCCCGCGCGTGCAATAACAGCAAGTGCGCGCGGGCTCAATTGGACCTATAACAAATGCCGTCACGTTTGTCCAATTCACTTGTCTAATAATTCTTTTTTTACTTGGAATAATAGTAAAAAAATATAAAGCTCTAAAATTCATTTAAGATTTGTCATGCAATATCAACGATATCACGGAGATGCTGGACGAAGTTTAATTTACAAGGGGAGGGCATGGTAAGATTTTCCCAAAAAAAATTGTTATGCCATCTATAGTAGGGTGTCATATATGAAGGAACTTTTCTCGTAAAATGTTAAGGTGCACTAGGCTAAAACAGCGGAGAAAATAGTTCTCATTTCGACACAGGTATAGGCCAGTCGGTTAGTGCAAAAAGTGCAACCTGAAGAGTCTTTGTGGTTTCTTGTAGTTTAAGGGCCCCATATATAAGAGCCCCATAGTTTGCTCTCGATTTTCGGTTGCAAAAAATGGTATAAACAATGGAAAACGTGGTTTTTCGATGATCGTTGCTTCCGGTTAAATTTTAGGGGAAAAAGTTGTTATTAAAAGTTATAGAGCTTGAAAATAGCTTTCAAACGACTAGTGGTAAATTAAAAACGGTTAATTTGTTTCGTTGGAAATGAATTTAAACCATTAAAAATAGCACTTTGTAATTGTTTCATAACTTTGTTAATAATTATGGAATTTGTTTATAACTTACCAGGAATATTCTCCTTGCGAAGCTGAATAAATCTAAAAAAATTCAACTTTATCGGATAAATAATTTATGAATAATTCCATTTTTTAACTAAAAACATGAAATAAGCATTATACAGTGGAACCTCGATAACTCGAATTTCAAGGGGAATGTCAAAAAATTCGAGTTATTGAATTTTCAAGTTAACGAGGATTTCGAGTTATAAAAGGTTTTTTTACCACAATTTCGACTTACAAAGGCATAATTTTAAAGTAGATTTTTAGATATAACTGTATACAGTTATATAATTCGACAATTAATTAAAGTTAATTACATATAAGGTTTAAAAAAGTCTGTTATTCTTCTTTGTGTCAGAGAATCAGAAAATTGTTTGTCAATAATTCAAAGTGTGACATCATTATTTTACAAAATTCGACTTACCAAGTCTACGTTTCAAACTTCGAGTTGTTTGTTTCTTCATTTGTTTATAACAGTATAAATATTTATGTAAAATGAAAATCAAAAATTGGATTTCAGAAGTCTTTTAAAATTTTAGTGAGGATTATTAAAAAAAAATTTGTGAATGATTTAGTTTTGATTCAGATCTATTTTTTTGTCATTTGTCGTGGAAAAATGTAGTCCAAAGAGGATTATTTTAAATTTTTGGTATAAATTTAAGCTGCAACGCCTTTTAATATCTCTGTTTATTGTATCAGAAGAGTGATTTTTGAAGTCGTATGAATTATTTATACGAGCATGTACAAGAATTGCAATACTTTTAACAAAGTCTATCCTGCTGCAAACTTATTCGAATTCTGAAGAAAAACAAACTAGGAAATTTTAAAATTATAGTAGGTACCTAAATGTGATCCCGAGTCGAACTTTTAGACCTGCTTACCTACTGGTAAGTATAATTTAATCCTAACCTGCACCTAACAAACCCTTGGTGTTTTTTTCCTCCTGCGTAAGTTCTATTTAACTCTGGCAACTCCTTTTTAAGTCCTAATTGAACCTTAAACCCTGTATTGCTTCTACAATACATATTCTTACAATAGCAAATGTTACGCGCGGAACGAGGAACTCGAAAAATTTCACTTCCAAGTTCCAACTCCAGTGACCGTCAAGTCCCTAAATTTTTTACAGTGTATAGCGTGAATTTTAAAAAAGAATTGAATTTGGAAATTATTTTTTTTGAAAAAGTTTAATTGGATTTTTTTAATATTATTTAAAATGTTACGCGCAGAACAAGATATTCAACTTATTATTGTTTTGCAAATTACAAAATTTTTTATTTTGAAAATTTTACGAAAGAATTCAATTATTTTCTAAAATTTTAATAAATCCTTCGAAAAAATTCAATTATTTTTATAAATAGTAAAATTCTTCGCAAGAATTCAATTAATTTTATAAATAGTAAAATTATTTGCAGGAATTCAATTATTTTCAAAACAATTTTAATTGAATTCCTTAGATGAATTCAAATATTTTTAAATATTTTCATAAATTGCAATTAATTTCTTAAACTTTAATAAATTCTTCGAAATAATTCAACTATTTTTATAAATAATAAAATTCTTTGCAGGAATTAAATAATCATTAATCCAATTAAAATAAAATTAAACGAAAGAATTTAATTATTTTTAAAAATGTTCATAAAATTTAATTTCAACAAGAATTGAAAATTCTCTAAAAAAAATTTAATTATTCTCAAAATATTTTTAAAAAATTCTATATAAAAATTAAATTACTAGATATCTCAATGCAATTTTTAAATATATTCGTCAAAAGAATTGAAAGAATATTATTTCCAAAAAGTAATTCAATTATTTTGAATATACTTAATTTTAATAAAATTCTTTAAAGAAATTCAATTATTTTCGAAACAACTTTAATTGAATTTTTCGAAAAAATTTCATGATTTTTAAATATTTCTATAAAATTCTTCATAACAATTTAATTATTTCTTAAAATTTTAATAAATTCTTCGAAACCTTTCAATTATTTTGATAAATAGTAAAGTTCTTCGCATAATAATAATAATAATAATAATAATAATAATAATAATAATAATAATAATAATAATAATTAGTCACCGCTTGCAATGCGTCAATGCCACGCAAAGGCGCCACTCCCGTAAGAAAATCCTTGCACTGGTGGTCAGAGGAGCTAGCCTCCTTGAGAAAGGAATGCCTCAAAGCAAGAAGGACATATACCCGATCTAAGGGAGATCCCTTGCTGAAAGAGGCTTTCAAGGAGGCGAAAAAGAACCTCAAGAAAGAGATCCGGAAGTCGCGACGCCATAGCTGGAAGGACCTAATCGAGGAAGTCGATAAGGACCCATGGGGTCTGGCTTTTAAAATCGTAACTAAGAAATTAGTGACGAGGCAAAAGACCCCCGGCCTGGACAATCCCGATTGGGTCAGAAAGATAATAAGTTCTTTGTTTCCTCCTGCGGAGCCATACCCTAGAAGGGACTGGAGTTATTGCAAAGTCGAAGAGGAAGAACTCTTCACACTTAGTGAACTGCAAAAAGCAGGCAAAAGATTGAAAACAGGCAAGGCGCCTGGAATCGATGGGATAAGTAACGAGATCCTAAAGTTGGTAATCGACACTTCACCCCAGATTCTGCTTCGATGCTTCAATCTTTGCCTTGAGAGA